TCTGGAACGAACTCTCCGTGGAGATCCGGTCCCTTACTACCCTCCCGGCCTTCCGCAAAGCCACCGAGTCCTGGCTGCTCCAGCAGGCTGGGGGGCTTGTGAAATATCCAGCCCCACGGAAATTGTGAATGTTGTGTTTTTTTTAAAGTGTTGTTTTGTCTATTTATCCCCTTCCCTTGTCTATTGTAAGCCGCCCGGAGTCCTTCGGGAGTGGGCGGCATACAAGACCAAATAAACTAAACTAAACTAAACTAGGAACTTTGACCGTTTTCTATAGTTGTCCAACCCTTGTGCCCCCAAAAAACAGTAATTAGGACTGATTTTATATCACCACAATGATGATGGGTGATGCCACAAAAATACTATAAATCACTGGTGGAGAAAGACTTTTCCAATGACATTAAAGCTTCACGACAATATATACTTGTTTAATTAATAACAAAAAGCAACTATAAATTAATGTAGGATAAGCTTTGAGTTAGATATCTAGAAGTACATTAATGAAAAAAAAAAACCTAATTTTAAAAACAGAAACTTACTCATAAAGACTGTCATCATTGGGAACCTAGAAACCCCCCAGAGAGTAGCACAATGCTTTGGCCACTTCTACTCACCTGTGTGGAGAATCTGGATCAAAGCAAGTTTTCCTTACATTAGTTACTTTGGGGTTACAACAGTCTCCATCATCAAAATTGTGAAGCATATTGTTGCACTCCATGTTGCAAACACCATCCCGACGCTCCCAGGCATAGCAGCGCCCCAGCCAACGGCAGTCACCCCCATCGTAGCCTGTCAAAGGGTGCTTGCACTCAGGATTGCAAAACTCATTGCCAATTTTTCCCGGCTCACAGTTCATTAGAATCACACGGTAGCGGAGCAATGAGTTATATACTTTGTGAATACTAAGTTGCCAAGTGATGTTATAGTGGGCAAAGGCCTCATTCAGAGCTTGGTGCTGGTGGGCAATCTGTTCCTCACTCACAGTGGGATGGAGACCATCATCATCATAGATATTGACAACCTGATAGTGCACTACTTTCTCATTCCTTAGCGGCCAGTGGCTGTTGTAATAAGATATCAATTCCACATTATCACAGGCAGTCTGTCCACAGAGTGGGGGTATAAGTGGAGACAGAACTTGAGGTTCTGGTCTATATATCATCTCCACTTGTGGGTAGGCTCCATCCTTGAATGTTACCCATTGCTGCTGCAAATGGTTGAACTTTGCACTGAGCAATAAGGAAAGTTTCCTGTCTTCAAACTTTCCCAGGAAGGCCCTCTGAAGTTTCTCTTGGGGCATAGCAATGTTCCAAAGGGCTAGCAGAGCCAGGTAGCCTCGGAAGTTGAGTCTGTTTGAGTTGCTGCCTCCCAGGATCAAAGTGCGGCACGAGGCCATGAAGGGACTGTGAAGGTCGCCAGACTGCTGGGAACTGCGAGCCACCCGCCTGCCATTGACGTACAGGAGCATCTCCTTCCCGTTATAAGTGGCGGCCACATGAGTCCATGTATGGAGCTGGTAACGGTGATGCGCCAATATAGTGGCCGATTTCTTGATACGGTCTGTACGGAGTGTGAAGAAGAAACGGGCATTCTTTCTTTCAGGATTCTCCTCCGAACGGATGCCCAAAGTCCACCCCTTATCACTGCCAATGTGAGAGCAATTGTCAAATACACCTGAATGGAGAGGACAGAGAGAGAAAAAGAGAAAAAGGATGGAATAAGGAATGCTAGTAAAAGTATTATATCACCTCCCAGCTTAAGCTCAGAAGCAGTACAAATCACATGGCATAGCTACAGCAAAATTACATATTTAAACTGATTGAAACGTTATTTCCACACCACCCCCAAGTCTCTTGGAAACTATAGTTTAATGAAAATCGTTTGTCTAAAGAGGTAAGGAGAGGTGGGTGGAAGGGAGAGAAAGAGAAGGAGNGCTTAGAGAGGGCTGAAAGCCCTATGAAGCGGTATATAAGTCTAACTGCTATTGCTATTGCTAATCTTTAGTTGCGGTTTAACTTAGACTTCATTCTGCTATGAACTCCAGACCAAAAATCTGAATGAACAAAATAATTTTACCAAGATTTTAAGGATACGCATTGCAGGATTGGGATGGCATTACATTGACACAAGTAGTAAATCTCAATGTTGAGGGATCTGGATAGATTGGTGAAAAGAGTATCTTTAGAACAAAAAAAGAAAAATACAAGAAAACCAATGGACTAATCTTCACCAGGTTTACTCTGTCTGACAAAGGAACATACTGTAATTGAAAACTTAAAAGATTTTCAGAATTAGGTTTGGACAGACTTTTGTCCATGATTTTGTCCATTTATTTTTCATTCACAGCATCTGCTAGAAACATTCTTGTTCAATTTTATTATCATTTAGATTTTCTTTATTTAAAACGTCTCTCTTCAGAAAAATAGTTTCATCATAAAGTAAATCTGTTATGCAATGAAATCCTCCTTTAGCATTCAGATCCCAGGCTATAGATGCAAATCAGGGGTGGGTTCCTGCCAATTCTCACCTCTTCTATAGAAGAGGTTCCACAAATCTACAGTGCTGTTTAGAACTGGTTCCAGCTCCCTCCCCCTCCCCCGCCCGTCTGCACATCATCAAGATGAAGAAAGAGAGGAGGAATTCTGGGAGTTGAAGTCCACAAGTTTTAAATCTGTCAAGTTTGAACACCCCTAGGGGTTTTTTCTAAAGGGTTAGGGGTGCAAGGGTCTTGTAACTTGACAGCTTTAAGACTTGCATGAGCCAACATTTTGGTTGCTAAGCAAGAGCGTTGTTAAGTGAGTTTCACCACATTCTACAAGTTGGCCACGCCCACCCAATCACATGACTGCCAAGCCACTCCCACTCAGGTCACATGGCTGGCAAGCCACTCCTACTCGGTCACATGGCTGGCAAACCACTCCCACAAAGCAGGCCACACCTACAGAAGAGGTTCTAAAAAAATTTGAAACCCACCACTGGTGCAAATTTGCATATGTACTGATGTCCTTTTTCAGAATTGACAGAAATTGCATGAATTTGGGTACACCAATCAAATTTCAAGCAAACAATTCTTTGGGCCAACTGAAATTCTCAAGTTTTCTGCAAGGTCAACGATGCATATAAGGCATTCCAGTAGTCAGTAATGTGGGCTGAAGAAGTTTATGGAGGCTAAATATTTCCATGAAAAGTTTTCTACTTCAAACAAATTTGGCCGTTTAAGAGTTGTATAATATTTCCTACTGAGGTGAATATTCTAAAAATTGAGAAGTGATGCGAGAGCTCTCTGGCTGCGACATCTGTCACCCCATTGATTGCCAGGGTTGATTCGGCTGATCTGGCTGGTAGGGCAGGTGTCCCTTTCCTCCCTCACCGCTCCGTGTGCATCCCTCTCAAAGCTGCGGTGGAAGAGGATGACCATCCCAGATAGAAGGAATGTACAGATCTTCAGTCAAGGGTATACAATAGCTGTGCTCCCCTGCTAGAACCTCCAAACAAGTTAAACCTCTATTGCAGTGTTTCTCAACCTTGGCAACTTGAAGATGTCCGGACTTCAACTCCCAGAATTCCCCAGCCAGCATTCGCTGGCTGGGGAATTCTGNAGAATTCTACATAAAAATGGATAACGAATAAGGAGATTATGAACGCAAGATAGAAATGTATAGTAGGGAAAACACTAACTGCAAAGAAACCGATTCGGAACTGCTGTATGATATACGATGGAACTTCTTGTTCCTATGTTGTTTTTAAGTCATGTGTTTGCTTCTGTTGATGTGCCTATGTGTTTAAAATAAAAATTTATTTAAAAAATGGTTTGTCTAATGGCTTAGGGTAAAAAAAAAAAATAGACACTATTTGCATATCACACTGAATCAAGTGTTGCATTTAAATTGTTCAGTTTTGCAGCCAGCCTTATTCCTTTGCCAGTGGAGCTATCCAGAGAATTGGTGCTGACTGAACAAGTAAAACCCCAGAGGAGCATTATGGCAAATGGCTCATACCGATAATTCCTGGTCTCAGTCCCATCTGTCTTTCCCATCCCATGGTTATTCATTCTTCCAGAAAACAAATACTTAATACAATTGCTTGCTGAGACAGCTGAACCTACTAGGGAAGATCACTTTTCATTCTGCAATTAGGCCACCATTAGGTGGACATGAAGTACCTGAAAGTATTTTGCATAATATATTCCTGCTTCGTGTCGTTAGTAATATTTATTATTACATGCAAGGTAAACAAAAGCGGGCAATTATTAAATTACAGTGGCACAGAGAATTTTTCAAGTATACAACTCTTTGCAACTAGAAAGGTGCTATTTAAATGAAGTAAAATTTGAAATATTACAAATGGCTCATTAATGTGATGAAACGTACAATATATTTCACTGTTACTCCTTGTGAGCTGCTTGTCTGTTCTCCTTATAGTCAATAATTTGGGGTTTTGAATTGGGAATCTTGTAAAGGAAACAGACCATTTCTGACTAGGACTCTATCTAGTTAAATCCAAAAAAAGACAGAATAAGAATATATGAAGTAGCCACTGTTCATGGGATCAGTGTAGCATACCTGACCTCAAAGTCTTAACCATCTACCTAATTAATAGAATGCAACCTTCTGCTGGAGAAACACACATCAGATCCATATAACGCCTGCCCGTAACATTTACAGAGGTTTTCCAAAGCTCGTTGTTACAAACCTTTAAATACAGATAAAAAGAATGCAACGTTTTAACTGTATATATCAAGTAAATGCATTGTAATACTGTCATTCAAGATTGGAGCAATGAACTATTTTAACACATGCAAAAATAAAACTCCAAAAACATTTACAAAATGTACAAATGAAAAACTAGAGGTCAACAGTCTCAAAAATACCTGCATCTTCATTTCCTTATTGCTCAAATATTAACATGGTAGGGAAAAAAAATAAGAGACTATTTTTCAACCTTGAATTACTTTCCCAGTTCATCTGGAATTCAGTAATATGGCGGAAAAATCTACAAATGTTGGAGCCAAAACTTTTGATGATTAAAACCTGGCTCTCGCACAGGATATAAGAAAGTGAATGTGAATATCTGAAAAATGGCCAATTCTTCTGACATTTGTACTAAATGCAAATTGCAAGATACTTCAATCACAATCCTTTTCTTCTTCATATGAAATTAAATACTATGGTTCAGAAATAACAAAAAATAACTGGAGGGAGAACACACCCCTTAGTGTGTTTTGTTTACTCTGAATAGCTTTGAATGTTGAATTCTTGTTTCCATTTCATGAATCATGTTGTTATGGATATTGCTTCCAAAAAGAAGAGTTATAAGGTATTTGACAGCACAATATGTCAATATGTTCCTATAGGAAATTTTATTGTTTCTGACCATTTCCTAAGATTTTAGTAAAACATTTCACATACTTACAGTTTAAGAAGTGTTGCTTAATCTAATAAAATAATTCTAATGTTAAATATTCCATGGCAACAAGCAGTTTCTCCAATGAAAGCTTTCATCAGATAACAAAGTCATATCAAATGCCTAAACTTTATTGTCATTGCTTCAAAGCAGTGTTTTTCAAAGTGTGGTCTGCGTACCATTAGGTCAATATCAGCTAGGTGATCTGCCACAGTCTCTCAGATGAACTAAACAAATATATTATGGTTCATTTGCCCAGAGAACATGATGCCAACAAAATTACTTTTAATTAAGACAAAATAAAATAATTTAACTACAGTACAGCTTTTTTGTCACTGGGAGTCAGATGGCATATCAATTTACTATTATGGTTGGTCACATACTTAGCCAGATATTTAGATTGGATTTGGCATTTTTATCCACTTCTATTTGCAGATCCTTGTATTTTATGATTTTCTCTAGTTCTCTCTCTTTTCTTGTGCTATCTTCAGATACTGCCGCATCTACTATCCAGATATTTTTCACCTTTTTAAATCAACAATTGTTAAGTCTGGGATATTATCTGTTTGAATTCTAAAGAGCGCTTTAAGCACTTTGTTTTCTATTATTTTATTTTATGGCCCCAGTTCTTGCTTGCAGGCAAAATTGTATTTCTTGCAGAATGGTTACTGTATGTTTCGGACTATAAGACGCACCAGAGTATAAGACGCACCATGATTTTGAAGAGGTAAATTTTTTTAAAAAGTTTTTGTACTCTGCAGGCCTCCCAAACCCTCTGCATGCCTCGTTTTTTGCAAAAAAAAGGGGGTGGGTGGGCATGCAGAGCTTTAGGAGGCTTATAGAGTGCTCCTGGGGACTGGGGGTGAAACAAGCAAAAAATGGCCCATTTTTCACAAAAATGGGCCAGTTTTTGCCAAAAAAAGAGGGCATGCAGAGTTTTGGGAGGCTGGTAGAATGTCCCTGGGGTTGGGGGACAAAAAAGAACAAAAACAGATGGTTTTATGCTCGTTTTTACCCTCCCAAGCCCCCAGAAGCACTTTGTAGGCCTCCCAAACCCTCTGCACATCCATTTTTGCAAAGTGGGCATGGTTTTGGTAGGGGAAAAATCCTGTATTCAGTCTATAAGAGGCACCCAGATTTTCACCCTCTTTTGGGGGGGAAAGGTGCATCTTATACTCCAAAAAATATGTTAATCATTAGATTAGATTAATTATAATATTGTAATATATAATAATAAATAAAGGTGTCATTGCAGGATATAAGCTGTTCCAGGTAAAATTGCCTTTTGCAACTGGTTTATGATATTTTGTCAATGTCAATGGTGTTCAACTATTAAATATTAAAGGCCTTTAAAATTAAGGGGAAGGCATACACAAAGACAACTATATAATTATAATATTATTTTATTTGCCAAAATACATGAATTCCCATATCACTAAAGGGTTTGTTTGTTTATCAAACTTATTTGCCGGTTCAAGTGACTCTGAGATAAACATATAATGTTTAGTGATTCATTACACAAAGTTTGAGAAACAATACTCTAAGCTTGCGTACATTTTTATCAAATTCTCACTGAATTCTCTTTAATCTAAACTTCTCTTTTTAAGGATCAGAGACATCATACTAAGCATGAGGCATATTTTCCCCCTTCCTCATTACATGAGCATTGGCATACACAGTAAATTAATAGTGTAGGAATGTCTATCATGCATACTTTTCTCAATATTATGGGGGGGGGGGAATATTTGTTGGACCAAAAACTCCAGGAACACATTTACTTTCCTAGATAATTTACATCACAATATTGAACTGGAGGAGTATATTAAACGATTTGTTTGTTTGTTCGTTTATTATATCTATATAGCCACTCAGGCAGAAAACAAATAAAAGCTACAATCACAATCAATAATATTAAAGTAGCAAAAAGGAAAGAACAATTGACACCCCAAAAAACTCTCAATCTTCATTTTAATCCCAAAGGAAAGATTAACTCTGTACTGTTCGTACAAATGCATCTTCATTGGCATTGTCATTTCAAGAGCCAAGGTGGCACAGTGGTTAGGGTACAGTACTGCAGGCCACTTCAGCTGACTGCTATCTGCAGTTCAGCAGTTCAAATCTCACCAGCTCAAGGTCGACTCAGCCTTCCATCTTTCCGAGGTGGGTAAAATGAGGACCCAGATTGTGGGGGCGATATGCTGACTCTGTAACCGCTTAGAGAGGGCTGAAAGCCCTATGAAGCGGTATATAAGTCTAACTGCTATTGCTATTGCTATAAACAAATACATGGCATGACAGTGGCACTTCCTGCTGTTTCTTCCTAATTAATTTATTATCTTGTCCAAGAACACAAATACCTGAGTGGATCAAAATTCTCTCTGCCCACTTACAAATTTCTTGAAATTGTTTCTACAGATCCTTGATTGCTGTAATCAAATAGTGATAAACATGCTTCCTTCCCTTGTTGTCTTTCAACTTCAACACCAAAGTGTGCTAAGCTTTATCTCGCTAGAGATTCCTGCTCTGAAAACCCAAAGAATCTGCTTTGGAAAATCTCAGAATGCTGTCAGGGTCTTGTCTCAGAAGCCAGGCCAGCAAGTGGGAAGATGGCCAGGAATGTGTCTGAAGATGGGATCAGAGAGTTCTACTCCAGCAACAGCTTTCTTCTAAATGGTAATATACAACTTTAATGAACAAGAAGTCCCCATGATCAGACAACCAGCAAGTGGGAGGTCAGCAAAGGGACAGGTAAACAGGAAGTAGAAACAGAAGAAGCAAGAGGTAGGATTTGGATGTAAACGTACCTGGTACAAGTCTAACCCAACCATCTCCCATTTTGCAAAAGATGTCACAGAAAGACAACTTCTTACATCTCCAGCCAACCTCATGTAGAGACTTGGCCCCAAATATCAAATCCACGAAAAGTAGTGGGGTTGCTACTGAAACCAACTCAAGGGGGAAAAAACACAATTAGTATTTATGAAAAAAAAGGAGAGATGCTAATATAAAACTGAGGCTGGTGCTCTTAGGAAAGTTGCTCAAGAAAAGTTACCATCTCCCTACAAGTTCCTCTCAAGAAGACAGGAATCCATGAATTTTAATAACACCTTCTCCCATAATTCAACTACTTCACCCACTTCTACATTTTCCCTTTCATCTGTTCCATATTAATTTCCATCTCTTCAGCCCCTTTTCCCATATTTCTTTATATACTCAGTCCAGAGGTGGGTTCCTACCAGTTCGCACCTATTCGGTAGAACCGGTTCGTCAAATCTACCGAACCGGTTAGAAGAGGTTCCACCAGTGGACCCGGAAAGCAGGCCACACCTACAGAAGAGGTTCCAAACGTTTTTGAAACCCACCCTTGGTCCTTGGATATGATTATTCTACACTATCATGCTCCTATTTATAAAACTCAGTGCCTCTGTGAAAGGTAAGGATGACTACTGCGTTTGTGGTGCAATCAGAACATGCGTGTGTTGAAGTTGTTTTAACGCAAACCAAAGATGCCTTTTAAAAAACAAGTTTACGTCATATTCTTATGCATGCCAGTGCTGTGTGTGAGGTAATTTAAGGTGGTTCTGACAAGTGTCGTCGGCATCTTCATATCCGGTCACATGGGCTGCAAGCCACTCCCA